GACTGAAATGTTTTTTGATTCGTCACTCGAAATGCGTCATTTGAGAGAAGATTTCTCACTACTGGTGTTTGGATGTCTAGTTAGGCCTATGAATAATAATTATGGTGCACAATATACATGCTACGTAGAACACTAGATATTGTATAGGCATAGGCCTAATATATGGGTTAAGATTACTCAATAAATGATCATGAGTTTCACTCGAAGAACTACATATAACTTTTATATTATGCATGATATATATATAGATATATAAGCACATCTAGCTAATCTAGCTCTAATGTATCGTAGAATGTATACTAGAATCGATAAATACTATCGCAGGCTGCTTCTTAATGCCCATGAAGGATTATATGAAAATAGTTTTTGCCGGGTGACTAAATGCAAAATAGGTTACTGCCAAGATCAAGCAGTCTTGGTTTCTTGCAGTACCTTTTGAAGGTATTTTCAAATGAAGTAGGCCTATAGTCCGGGAACGTTGCCCAAACCAAACCACAATTGAAGTATCTGAATATTCAGACATTAAAAAATCTCTAGGAGCACTAGAAATTGAATTGGATGCAAAAAATGTTTCTTCCCAGTCCTCGCAGAATGGCAGCAAATAAAAGGAAGACGCCTAAATCTTGCGTATAACCAAAAAAATCTTGAGATCGGAAACCGTTCGGAGAAATAGTCACTTCGTTAAATAAAAGGAAGTGATAACCTATGTCTCGCTATTCTCACCCCCTCGTTTTACCAGAAATGACCCTATACACGATCTTTACTTCGACCGTCTCGGCTAGATGTATAAAAGAAAGTCTGAGAAAGATTTCAAAACAAACATGAAGCCACAGCGAGCACCTTGCACACCTCTGTGATTGGCCCAAAAATAATTATGTATTTCCGCCATCTATTTTAGTTGTCTTCCGGGGTTTCCCCCAAGACTCTTGGGTTTCCCTCGTCAGTTGACTAGTTAGATAGACTAGATCTTGCCCTGTTTGTTTTTTGTATTTAAAATTTGTGTTTTATATCTTTTTTTATATACAATCTCAGCAATTTTCGTTCCATAAATTTACATGTACCTTCTCCTCAAAGTTGTACACACACACACACAAGCGCATGCCCAAGCACACACACACACACGCCTGGGTGCTTTTTCGGTAGTTCCCACCCCCCTTATTTGAGCATGACCTACTTCTAGATCTAGATCTATACCTTTGATTCGCAGTGAGCTAAGATATCAAACCTAACAACAGCAAAACATTAAATTGTGGTAAAATTCAGGGGGGGCAAGCCCCCCTGAAAACCCCCTACTCTTGGGGCCAAAACCCGTGAATAACAATTGCGGGGTGGGAACTACCGAAAAAGCGCCCACGCCTGCACATACAGCCCAAGCAGTCGGAGATGAAACCTAGCCCAGAGATCAGGTGACGCAGCCCATCGCATGCTAAGCGGCAAAAAAAAGCAGGCCCGCCACCACAGTGAGATCTAGATCTAGAATCTAGATCTAATCTAGATCTAGATCTAGACTAGTCAGACTAGATCTAGATCTAGTAGTCAACTGGCGATGGAAGCCCCGGAAGACAACAAAAAATAGATCTAGAGTAGGCCTGCATCACCGCGCTACTGTTTTGGTGCGCAACCCCCGGTCTCCTGCTTTGTTTTGGATAAGAACAGCGAAAACGAGGTCATTTTCTGTGAGCATGCGCAGAATGCAGCTTATTTCACTTTCGTTTTGGAGGTTCCTGTCAACACACGTGATTCTACGGTGTCGGAAAGTTTTGCCCCTTCATATTAATGGTTTTCGTAACCGGTATCGATCA